GTGCATGAGAAAGACATGAAGGCCAACACACTCCTCAAACACTATTGGCAGGCGCTCCAACTACGTCACAGTACACACTCCAAACACAGGTCGAAGGGTGGGCAGTGAGGGCAGTGGTGCAATGTATCACTCTTTGGTTGTGAAGTTCAGGTGACGGTCTCAGGACATTCACACTCATGCACACACAAGCGCGCACACGCTGTCTGTGAGGACATGAAACATCTACATTGACTGATGACAACAGTTTTGACCGCATCATCACATCATTTTTTTTCTCTCTTTCTCTCTTCTATCACACAGCTGTCGCTCAACAACAACACCTAAAAAAAAAAAGGGCGTTGGTCATGGACGCGGGGTGTAGACCGGTTGATACCGGCTCACCCTTAGACAAAAAAAGACACAACGCACGCACAAATGCACGCACGCAGTTAGTATGTACTCCAACACGCCTGTATCTCTATTTCTCCTCTATTCTCTCGCTCTACGGACACCCTCTCGGAGAGCGGTCGCGGGAGCGTATTGCATGCTCTCGTGTCGCTCGTCGATGGTGTCGTGACGCTTCCAAGTACAAGCATGACGGTTCGGCGGCGGGCTCCGGCAGACGGTGATCTAGCAGTACCTGTTTCCGCACGCATTAACGCGGGCGGGGATCGGGTGCTGTGTCATCGTCTTGTGCGGCAGCTGCCGGGACGTCAGCTATTCGGGCCGGGCGGTAATGTTACGGACCGACTTTCGGCCGCGACTACTCAGGGCGGGATTCGTACCCACCGCACAACCAAGAACCCACGCGACCAAGATGGAGACCGACACGCGACTCAACGGGAACAAGAAGCGGTCAAGCGAGACTATGTGAGAGTTCTCTCTCTCTCTCTTTGGATTATCAATCAACATCATCTTTATTCTTTCATTTTGGCGGTTCCATCTCCATCAAGTACCTTATCGTACGCGAGATCCACACCTGCGGGTACGACCCGTCTCATATATTTTTCCTTGACTTGGCAACCTTGGGTTGGGCTTGGGTGTCGCAGGCAAGCAACGACGAGCCGGGCCGGCGTTGCCCCCACAGAGACAGTGAATGGCTGTGCCAGCGAACAAGCCAACTCAACGCGCTGTTTAGCACCACCAAGGAGCTGTCGAGTTTGGTCGAGTCTCACGGCGCGCCGACTCGTTCGTCGGCGCGAGCGACAACGCTTTGGTGGTGCCCATATTCAATCGTGTTTTCTTTTTTGCTGACACATGGCTGATGTCATGGGTGAGCTGCAGGAGGAGAAGTTTCACGTCAGAGCACCTGTGGGCGGGGAGAAGAAGGCAAGGGGGGAGGGCGGGTGGCCCCCTACTCCTCACCTCCACAGCTTCCTCCTCAGGCTCCTCCTCGTCCTCGCTCTCACACTCCTCCATCTCCTCGCCATTGTCACCGCCAAGACCAAAATACATTTCTTTTCTTTTCCTCTGTGGTGGTATTCTTATTATTCGTGACAAAGTCGACTTCTCTGCCCGCGTACCTAA